AATCCTAATAAAGTTCAAAGTGATCCGGATGTTGCCCAAAGTTGAGCTCCGTGGCCTACCTTGGAGTGACAGATAGAGTGCTTGCACAATAAGCAAATGAACCCCAGCTTTCTGAATTGGATAAGGCAAACCACGTGAACATGAGACCCGTTCATAAAGTGGCACACCGCGGAGAGGAGTAAACCACCATGGACTCAGATACTGGCAGCAAGGTGGCGCTGAATCACATTTTCAAGATGGGGCCCACGATGAAGGGAGAAGTATAGACCTGCCAGCTGCGTCCTTTGGTCAAATGCCTTAGTAAAAGTACTCAACGACTCTGCCAACAAACGCACGCGCCGTTTCCTCTTGCATGTCTTCATAACAAGGAGAGGGTCACTATGCTCTCTATTTCAAGCTTCCTGCAGACGAGCCCTACAGGTTCTTTGTCAGCCTCTATGGAATACTTGCTCAATTTAGCATGCGCAAGATGTTAGCTCATGTTGATAACTGGAGCAGTCAATTTATTCATCCCCGTCCTCCACATCTCTTCTTCATACGGCACAACTGCTATTGGTCAGACGACATGCAATGGGTACCGCTATAACGGTTAGATTGCAGGTGCTGTGATCAGACAAGGGTCTGCGTCAACACCGAGTTTTGCGTGCCTGGGGTCGCATAGGGATGCGAATCGGCGGCTTGAAGGTAGGACACCTCCTCAGTCTCCACGCCGCCACACAACGCTTGCACGACCTCTTTCTTAAGAAGACTGCTAACTCCGGTGGCACCCATCGTGCCAATTTTGTCAAATTGCCACGTCGTATTTTCCTCTTAAACTGGAATAAATTGACCCCAAGGTAGACAACATCATACCACCTCTATATTGCTGTTTCAATGTACTACGTATCTACACTATAAACGCAGACTTTTTTTCTTGCATTGACCTGCTTGATGTAGAACTGTGTGATGTTGGACTCGGAATATGGATGATATGGCGAAGGCTAAATATAACCAGTCTAGAGTTCTACTGTTTAATTTGCAGTTTCCCCATCGTTATGCAGCCTTCGCTCTTTTGCGAGTGTCGTTCTACACTGTATTCCGATGTTACGAAATGACTGTGTGTTTGAAAGGTGAAGGTGCTGCCACGAATATCTTATCAAGGCAACGTGGCGTGTGGTGCGCTTTTTATCGAAGTTGGTGCAAGTTTATCTGTGGATGGTTGGTTGTTTTCAAGAGCGCCTCGATTCATATTAGCTTGCAACACGGGGTGGTTTCTAAGCCCTTCCTTATATTTGGACTCCTTTTGGCGCTTCTCCACATCAGTCTGAGTAAATCAGAATCCCCGTACTTGTTTAGAGTTATGTGTAAGGATTTCTATGACCATCCTATCTCGTTGTATGGAACGTTGAGACCGGTGAAAAGACATAACTCATGCATCAGCTGTCATTCGAGCTGGAAACTCAACGTTGGGAGCTCATTCATTTCCTTTTCGACATCGCCTTAATTACTGATGTCCTGCTGGAATTTTGGGGTCGGTCTTGACTCTTAATGCCGAGCTCTCACAAAACGTTTTTGTGTCCTTGTGTAGATTGATGGTGGGAAAATGCCACTGTGGGAGATGTCATGAGTGCAGATGGTTGAGGAAACCTAT